ACCAAAGACAAATTCCTTGTGTGTCCAATCATACTTGGCCAATAAAGAATTATTATATTATATTATATTATATTATATTATATATTTATCTTGCTTCATGTGCAAAATGAAAAATAAATTCATTTGGGGAACTTATCCTCTTCAAGCATACACAGGGACTGTTAACAAGGCACAGGAGCCTACTGTGCTATCCAAAGAAGAATTTCCTTTTGGATAGCACTGGCCCTGGAATGGCGCATGGCCATACGATCATTATTTTCCTCAAGCACTGATTTTTGTCTACTACTGGCAGAACAATTAGAGTAGGATCTGCTGTCTGATATTTCAGTGCTCCATAAAAACCTGAGGGGGGAAAAAAATTAAAAATCTCCTAGACTGCTTTTACAGACTCCTAGACAGATACATACAATACAAAAATGACCAACTAGAATCTCATTCAGCAAACAAAAAGAAGATAAAGATGGTAAAATAAAGAGTGGGGGGGGGGAATCACAGGCCTAAATACCAACCTTGGTACATTTCAGATATGATCTAACTTAACATAATCCAAAACTACATAGAGTATCTGAGGGTGATAATATAAAACAATGGACTGTCATGTAATAGTTACAATTACAGTACATATAATTCCTTATCTGAACGTCTCACAAGTGCTCGCTAAATAAAGTGAAATGCCTTCTAAATTGAAGATATACTAAAAATATTGATTTTGCCTCCCAAGCATTCACCCAGGTACTATAGAGTGGACCATTCTAGAAAAGCCACAACTTGGTTACAAAGGCCTCCTCAATGTCATGCATTTTAGTACTATGTGTCACCCACTCACTCTCTTTCCTTGAACAACATTGTCTTTACCTTTAAAGGCATCGTCCAGGTCCTCTTTATTGAAGACAATAGCCAAATCATGAATGGCACAGGTATGGAACTGCACCCGAAAGATTACATCCCGAGTCGGGCTACGGAATTCCTTGTGATAGCATTTCAGCTGCCAGTGAAAGAGGGCATAAAGGAGACAAAATGAAACATGCCATCGCCTGGGAACCTACCTGAGAATAGGAATGATTCTAGCCACTTGCAGGAATTCTATACTTGGTGCTGCAAAGATATCCTTTCTCTGCATTTCCCCACAAAGACAGTGAACTCTGCTTAAGTACATAGGAATGCAGACTACAGGTTGCGACATTCTTAAGCCTCCTATTCTGGAGTCTTTAAATAGGGTGCCAACTTTTACAATATAAAAGCCCACAGTGATAAAAATAAAAGCGTGCAAGTTTTGACTCTTACCAAAATATCTCCCTTTAAGAGGAGTCCTGGTTCTATGGTGATACAGATGCTTGTCTGGCTGTCCCCCTGCACATTGCTGTAAAAAGAAACAAAATGTGGAGGACAATCCAAGCAACTCGATAGCTAAGATTCATTTCATCTTCCATGTCCAGGCATCAGTCAAGGTGGTGTCATAAAATGTCAGATCAAGACCAGGAAAACCCAGGATTCAAGTTACTGGCCCATCACTCTTCCTCAGCCCAATTTACCTCACGGGGTTGTTTGGGGGAATATATGAGAGAAACAACTGCTTTGCATAACCTCTTGAACTTCTTGATAATTTATTTTTTTAAAAGAAGAAACCACTCTATTATTTTAGTGTGTCTATTTTTGCTTTGTGCTACAATTGCTAAATCATTTTTACTGATCCTGAAACACTGCTTAGATCTGCTTTGATCAGCATTAGAAACTGATCCAGTAGTTTACCTGTAGCAAAAAGGTAATGATCCACAAAAATGATGACTTTCCGGGAATGACCTTATCAAATTTTGTTGTATCTATCCTTCATGCAATCTGCTCCAGAATTTACAGTGAGCAGCTAGTATATCTGGACCTAGTCAGCATTTCCACTTCTAAGCTTTCTGTTATACACATGAATACCTCAAAAGCAAGAATTTCTTATGTATACGTGGACAAAGGTTTGCCAAAATTTTCATTTCATCCAATATCCTGCTGTTCTTTCATTGTCCCAGAGCTTCACTGAGCAAATTCATTGAATAAATTCAATTTTAGTTAATCAATATCAGCCAAGGTAAATTGTGATTGATGGCATTATGATTTAATGGTACCATTTGCTGATTTGAATGGAAGGGAAAGCAATGAAGATGTTGCCGTGTTTCATATATTTTTTCTTCAAAAAAGGTTTCATGGAGATTGATTGCATGTATACATCGAACTGATTAATAAATGGTTGATTTAAATTCGAGTTGATAGAAGAGGAAAATAAACTTTAATCAGTGAAGTTATTTCTCTCTGGATAACCGAGCCAATATATAAGTGTAAAATAGCATAAATAAAATTAAGCTGAAAGCTATGAAGAGAAGAGTGGGAAAGAATGATATAGAGCTGCTAAGTCTCCTGAGAGTCTTTACATGCTTCAGTTGTAATAAATAAATAAATAAACAAATAAATGCAGCCCCAGGAACAGCATGGGTCTCTGTGCCAGCCACATATTCTAGATCAAAACTCAGAATAACACACGGAACCAGGTCTGCAGGATACCACCTCTACTGCAAAGCTCATAGAAAGTTCTACTCTGCTTTGCATCAGGACCAAGAAGAAATCTGAGTGCTGGAAATCAAAATAATAATGGCAACTCCATTTACTAGATTCCTGATGTGTAGACCGGTTGCATTGCCTGATATATCTTGAGGAATGGCCGGCAGCCTAAGAAACAAAACAGACAGAGAAAAAGGGACCTTCGTTACAAATTAGTTACAGAGAATACAACATGAAGGGACCAAAGCAAACAATCTCACTGGAGGAGAATGACAATACCCTCCTTGTAACAAACAACACTTGGTTTGTGTCAGTGCTAGAAGTTGTGAGAAGCAGTAAAGCGTGGTCAAACAGTAGACACAGTTTAACTACAGTGTTTAGACACATGCTGGCTGTGCAAATTCTGGGAGTTGAAGTTCACACATCTTCAAATTGCTTTGAGCGACTAACATTGGCTTAATGCTTTCTCTGCTCAAGTCTGATATAAGACTCTGTTAAGTGCCAAAACTCAGGAAATAGAAAATTAAATAAACTAAGATAGCTTTCGGTTTGTGAATTATATGCCCAACATCCAGACCAGCCACAATCAAGTTACAAAGAGACAGATATTTTGATGAATCTAACCATGTATTTTTTAGACTGCTGAAAGCTTATCCTACTCATTAGGATACAAATCATTCTATAACTGCATTGAGTAAATTGTAATCGTTGTGTCTTTTAACACAGACAATAAACCAGATTTTACATCTTTCTGTTCATCCCTTCTTGGATTTATTTATTCATACAGCTAAGCTGTATGTCTTTGTAGCAACAAAGACTGAAGGCAGTCTGTGGAATAGGAATAGGAAGCAGAAACAGTAGAAGAAGCTTCACCATTTTCAGCTACAAATGTGGAGTGTTGCTTCCAGGAAAGACGAAATCTTTTTAAACACAACCCTAGAACATCCGTAGGAGAAATCCCATTTCCCATCTGGCTTTCTATTTCTATAGAGACTGTACCATACATGATAATTCAAGAACAGCTTTCTCCCACTGATTCTTGAAAATGGTGTAGTCCATTCCGTCACTTCAGTATGTTTACAACCTTGTTCCTTTGGAACCCCTCTAGTCAGAAAGGTAGTCAGTGAAGAAAAATAAAAGTTGTAAGGACCCATATGGTATCTTTCCACCCTGTGGCAACCTATAATTGAATGTGTGATGGAAAGGTCAGTTACCTCCTTTGGACTCAAAGTTGGGTATTCCATGCATGATGACATGATGCAAGAAGAGGGGCTTGTTGTTCATTTTGATGGTGCCAGACAGCAGACCGCTGAAGTAATAGACATATCTAGAGTAGAAACCAAAATAGTAGCAGGGTATTTAGAAAGAGTCTCTTGGAATATTTATACTTCAATGAGTCACTAGAGTTGAAGGGGACATTTATGCCATCACAAGTCTAAAACTTCTGTGTGGGAGTTTTTCAAATATTTAGATAGATAGATAGATAGATAGATAGATAGATAGATAGATAGATAGATAGATAGATAGATAGATAGATAGATAGATAGATAGATAGAT